CTCAATAATGAGATATTTTCAAATGGATTGTTGATATTAGTATAAATTTAATGAAAAATTTTAATGGAATGTTATATCTATTTTAATTGTGGAGAGGTAGAAAGTATATTCAATAAATAGAAGAAATTTTTGGACATTAAGGGAATTTGAAGGTTTAAATATAAAGAGTTTTGTACAATAAAAATAATATATCCAAAACAAAAAGGAAAGACTAGGGGAAAACTATATATACAAATACATATACATATATATAAACACTTCTAATTAAAGTTTGATTTTTCAGAATCTACAAGTAATTGATGTAAATTAATAACAAGTTAACTACTGGGTAGCACTAATAGCTATGATATTGCTATCCATTTTCCTACAATAAAGCTACTCTCTATGGTATCAAACTTATGTATGTATGTATACATGTATATGCATATGTGTATATATGTGTACATGCAGTTTATATTTATATAAACATATGTATATGTATGTGCATGTGTTTATATGTATGTGCATAAATTTTCCTTTGTTAGGTACATTCTATCTCTGGTAAAGAGGCCATCAATCCTTTCTTTTAAACTGTGGTCCAGCAATCCAAATTCTATTCTCAGGCACCAAATTTTCGATCAGTCAAGATTAGCATATGAAATATAAATCAGAGAACCTTGGCTCAAATCTTGCTGAGTGGTCTCAGTTTTTTCAAGGAAGTATGTCCTTAGTTGACAGAGTAGAGAGAGGAGTACCATGGGAGGCTTGAATAGGTATAAAAAGGTTTGGAATAGCCACTATGGTAAGAAGGCAAGCAAGTAGGTTAAGACAGTGTAAAAGGGTTGCTTTGCTGCAGTGAGGGCCCAGTTGAAATTATGTAACAAATTTGTAGTAGACCTAGTTAAGAACGTAAGTTCCTCAAGAGCAGAGACTGTCTTGCTTTTGTACCTGTATCCTCAGCACCTTAGCAAATGTGCGGCATGTGATGATTTCAAAAAAGTGCTTTTTTATCAGGGCAGCTGAGTGGGCTCTGTGATTCTAGGCTCTTCATAACGACAAATTTAATGGTCCTTCTCTTCCCTTTTCCCTGTAGTTGATAGTTTGGTGGCAAAAGTTATACAGAAGTAAGGATGGTTGACAGGGTCAAAATGTTTCTCCATGACCTTGCCAGGGGAATCAATGACTCCATCTGGGGCATCTGTAACCATCACCAAACTGGATGCCTGGATCCAAGAGAAGAGGAAGAGCAGCATTAAAGAAGGGTAAGCTGTGTTCTAGCACAAAGAAGAGCCCAGACTAAAAAAGGGAAGCATGAAAATGAGCCAAGGGGAGTGAGCAGAATTTTCTATTTCTATGCTTGGAAAGGAGTATTCTGGCTGAGTATCCTCTTATTTTAATGAATATTTATCCGTGTGCTTCAGTCAGTAAAAGCTCAAATTACTGATCCCCCACTGCATGGAGATATCTGGTCCTGGCTTTAGATTATCCTCACTTCTATTTTCGGTGGTCTTTGGACACTCCCTTGGTTTGTACTCAGTTAAGTTGTAAATGACTACCTAGGTGGTAAAGTGGATAGAGTGCTAGGCCTGGAGTGAGGAAGACTCATCTTCTTGTGTTCAAATCCAGTGTTAGACTGTGTGACCCTGGGCATGTCACTTAACTCTGTTTGCCTCAGTTTACTCATCTGTAAAATAAGCTGGAGAAGGAAATGGCAAACCACTCCAGTATCTTTGCCAAGAAGACCCCAAAAGAGGTCATGAAGAGTCAGACATGATTGCAAAATGACTAAACTAAACAACAAAAGTAAATGCTATATGGTTTCAGGATATTGCTGACTTAGCATTTGAGTGGTCTGGGAGAAAGCCTCAGCCATTCCCAACTGTTGGTAAGATCACCCTTGACACCTTATTAGTATGGACAGACCCTTTTGCTGACCCAGAGAATATTTTTCCTTCTACTCCCGATCCATCTCATTTGCCAATTGGTCAATCTTTTCTATGTCTCTTCTCTACTCACTCTATTATTTTGAATATTATTAATTTAACAAAGGAATTAAAATACATCTGCAATTATATAACATTTAAAGGAACTGACCTTGATGCTTTGGTTTTGGTTTCCTCTCAGTCTTCTTCAAAACAATGCAGTCTTCTTATATCATCAGTGATTGCTTCTTCCCTAACCCCTTTGTTCATCATCAACACCAATGAAGCAAAAGGCTTTTCTCCACTGCACTTGCTTAATAAGCTTATTGAATATGAACTGACACACCCCAAGGACAGAGATAGCCTCCATTTTTGAACATGGGACCCATGAAGTAGACGGAGTTAACAGAACATGGACGAACATGTGATGGGCTGTCCAGGAAGGGTGTAACTCAGATGAACTAGACCAATAGGAACTTTACTAATGGTTTAAAAGTTGATTCTACCACTGCACCAGTGCCCACGTGCTACTAAAGTGCATTGTGCTGCTTCTCTTACGAGAAGCGTAATAAAGACTTTCCTTCACTCATTCACTGTAGTAGATTTTTGTTTCAGATTTTTCTAACAGGACCCAATTTAACAAGGGCCTTCTGCCCATTCCCATCATTCCCTGTGAGGATCTGGAATTGTCATGTTTTGAGTGTATTAGAATCTTTCTGACACTAGCATGTGGATTTTTTAACACCATTGTGTATCTAAAATGACTGCAGATTTTTCTGTAATTGTTTTCTAGTATTTTCCAACCTTATAGCTGTACTGATTTGAATATTTTGCTTTTTTTCCCCAGTGCCATTCTTTCCCTTCTTTCCTGTTTTTGTTTTTTTTGCTTAGGCAGTCAGGGTTAAGTGACTTACCCAAGGTCACACAGCTAGTAAGTGTCAGTGTCTGAGACCGGATTTGAACTTAGGTCAAGGCAAGAGCTCTATCCACTGTGCCACTTAGCTGTCCCACCCTTCCTTTCTCTGGAGAGAGAGAGAAACAGACAGAGACAGAGAGGCAGAGAGAGAGAGAGAGAGAGAGAACCACACACACAAAAAAAGTACAATTTAAAAGAAATGAAACTAGAAGGAACTTGAGGTTTCTCATGAAAGGGCGGAATGCTTTGTGAATATCACAAAGTTTAAGGAACACAAGATCTTTTTTGGGTCCAGAAAGGGGGAATTTAGAGTAAATGGGCAGCTTATCGCACTAAGTGTAATTGGTGTGAGTTCTACAGTATTGATCTGAAATTAGGGTCTCTTCTCTTACATATAGTTTATAGAAGGGAATTGGCTTTGACAAACTCAGTTAAGTTGAAACTATCCTGGTCTCCATTCCCAGGCCAATGAATTGAACTGGGGCTGACCAGGCATTGTCACTTCCAGCCTCTGATTATTTTATAGGTCTCCCAAACTCTCCCCTCCAGAGAATCTCAAGCTTTCTTTATGGACTTTTGCTTGTTTTGTAAAACAATATACCTTGTGAAACTATGAGATGCCTAACTGCTCCCATTTGCAACCTAGTCATTCTCTCTGCCTTAGTACCCTATATAAATAAACCCTGTTCCCAGTACCTGCTGTGTGACTCCCAAGCCGCAACTCACTTGCTCCAATTAAAGACCTCCATTTTGTTGTATTGACTGTTTTCATTAAAATTCACTCTGACAGCTTATGTCCACTCATTTAGTAGTTTGGTTCTCAAAAAACTCTTTTGTGAGCTTGTAATTGGTGAATTCACTTTTCCATAGATAAAGTGTTATGTATGTTCAGCTCTGAGTTCCAGAGCATTCCTCACACATTAAAAATTCCAATAAGGCAAGGCAAAAAAAAAAGAAGATAAATAGCTAGGGGGTACAATAGATAATGAACCTTGGAGCTCAGGAAGACCTGAGTTTTAGCAGATAATCTCTTCTGTTATTTTTCCACAAGAAAAATGTTAAGAGTTGGTTGTGGGTGGGTGATTGTGAGGTTGTTTCACTGGGCAGTCAGTAAACATTTATTAAGCACTTATTATGTGCCAGGTTAATACTAATCAGTCTGGTGCTAAGCACCAAATAGAAAATGATACACAATGAGAATTTGTGCACAAGAATTATTTGTAAAGCATATGGTTAAAAGACTTCTATTTAAATGCCTCTAATATGCTCAACTAAGATCCTTTGTAAAATATTTTTAAGGCAGCATTACAAAAGACCCACTTCTATAACCACTTCTATTGTTTAGTCTACCAGCTGCTATGGGGCGATTTGGGGAAAGCAAGTTTAAATTGAGTATTTTGATAATTTGGAAAGTCAATATAAACTTTCAGATTTTTTTCCCACAATAAAATGAACACCTTTGGAATTTAAAAAAAAAATGTTTTTTATTCATTAATTTCCTTCTCCAAATACACCCAACCTCTTTTGTCACCAGCATTCTAATGCTCCCTTTCCAAACTCTGATTCTGGAAATTTCTCCAGGCTTTTCTCGAGTTCTGTTCAAGTCCTCTCAGTATCCTTGAGGACACCTCCACCTGATTTAAGACAGACTTTTCAGCCTTTTTAAAGTTTTCCTCTCCACCACCTCTACTAACAAATTCCTTTAGAAGTCTTCCTGTCAGGGAAATTACTTTTTACAATGAAGCTATCACTCTCATTCTGGTACCTTCAGTTTGGTAAGATCAAGGCCTAAGGCTCTAATATCCTTTCCTAAACCTTCCAAATGTATGGGGGAATCTGGATTCCTGGGAGATTCAACCCTCCCAATCTTTCCCTTAGAGAGAATTAACCATCTTATCCCATAGGAGTAAAAGCTCTTTTCCCATTTCCGTGACCTCTTCCCCTAGGTTTTTTTCCTCTCATTTCTTCCCATTTTCCCAGCACTCCCTCTTTTTCCTTCATGCCATTTTATCTTTTTTTCCCTTGTGTTCCATTTTCCTCTATTCATCTTCTCCCTTCTCTCTTGCCACTTTTTCCCCTATGCCCTTTTTGTTTTTCACTTCTTCCACTGCCCACCTTGCCCCAAACCCCATCACTCCCATTCTTCTCACCCCCATCCTTCTCCGGAACAGAGAGACAAGAGCTTTTCAAATAACAATCTTTATTTTATTCTGGAAAATAATTAAGCAACTTCGATTTTCTTAAATGAAGTTGAGGTCAGGCAGGAAAGGAAAATATAAATGACCAAATTCCTCATCCAACCAATCACTATCCTCATCTCCCAAGAAATAAAGGGGTTGGAGGTAAGGGAGGGCACACCCTACCTTATCTGTGTTGGGAACACAATTACACAAGTGGATGAGAGGGGCTCGCTGCTAATGGCATTAACCATATTTGCTCCTCAGGGGAAGAGGGAAAACAAAAACTCAGAGAGGAAACAACCCACATAATCAACAAGGGAACTGAACCCAAGTGAAAATGGAAGGGGCACAGAGGACAAGACTCTTCCATCATCCATTTGAAGCTACACCCTCCTAAAGAATCTAGGAAAAACTGGGTTCAGGGAGGTGGGAGACTGCCACTGAGGACTGTCCCAACCCTAAGCCCACCCCACAATCTCCCCCTAGTCCTGAGAATGGAGAACTGGGGAGATTTTGCTTTTCCTCATTCAACTTTTATTTCTAGAATTGGGGATTATATACTTCAGAGAAAGCAGGAAAATGAGACAACAGAAATGTAAAAAAAGAATGAAGAAAAACAAAAAAAATATATAAAAGGCTATACAGATAGGAACATGACACACCCTGCACACACAGTAGAAACAAAGAGAATGAGACAGGATAAAGGTCAAAGGGGATTAAAAAGTACAAACACCTAAAATTTAGTAATGTGTTCCCTGGCTCCCCTTTGGTGTGTTCTTGTTTTGGCCACAAGCACATATATGTCCCTAATCCAAGCCCTTAGAAAAAGAGATGGATTAAGTGGGAGGAACAGGGGTAGGGATCATAATGTCATAGATTTAGAACTAGAAGGGCTGTTAAAGGTCAACTTGTCCAACCTCTTCACTTAACAGATGAGGAAACTGAGGCCCAGAGAGGAGAAATGCACCCTAGCTAGAAGGGACAGCAGTAGAGGGAGAAAAATCAAGCCAGCACATAATGAAGTCCCAATGAGAGAAAAATCTCTGAAAATTGTATCTTTCTTAAGATTTTCATGAGGAAACCAAAACTATCTAATGGAAAGACTAGGACTCCTAGCTTCTGAAGGTTAGGGGGCTGAATTTTTTCTCTGCCTTACAAAACTCCTGCCCAGAGCGCTAATATTCCCCAAGAAAGCTTTCCCATTGATGACAGGATATAAACCAGGCATCTCACACTCTTGGCCCAGGTAGAGAAAATGCACTCGAATGCCACTTGGAAAAAGAAAAAAGAACTGATTAAAAAAACACACACACACACACACAAAAAGAACAATGCAGCTTATAGACGAGACTCTCCACCTCTTCCTGTAGAGGACCAGAGAGTGGGTGCCGCTGCTAACTCCAGCTAGGGTCATAACCAGTCCAGTCCTGTGGAGGTGCCAAGTATACCCGGCGGCCCCGGAACAGAAAACTGACAATGCCCCGATAGCCAGCTCGGGGAACTCCTGACTTGAGATCATCCATGACACCTAGGGCCTTAGCAAAAGCTCTGAAGCTGTCCCGTCCTGTGTACTGTACCCGAACCTCCCCTAATTCCTGTTTCTGGTTGCCTTTTAGCTCCTCCACTTGCACTTGGGGCGCAGCATAGACTTGGGCAGAAAAGTCCTGATCATAGGCTTCCCGTTTCAGATAGGACAGGTTCAACTGAGTGAAGGGCACAAAACCTTGGTTCAACTTGATGAACTTGAGGTGCTGGTCAAAGAACTGCCCCTGGCTCACCCCCTTGCGACCAAAGGTCATTGTCCGAGAGATCTCTGGCCTTAAGCAAGCTCTATCCCTACGCTGCTCTGGTTGCCGCATCCAGTCATCCCAAAAGGCCTTTGGCCACTTAGGCTCCAGCTCATCCCATAGCTCAGCCAGCAGCAGCCACCCCAGGCCTGGGAAAAAGTCTGTTCGATACAGAAGATCAGGTCTTGTGGCATCCACCATCTGCTCCTTGCCATTATCATTCCAGGCTGAAACACACCACAGTGATGGATCAGTCCTCAGGAGTGGATATGTGGCTTGAAAGTATTCAAAGAAGTCTGGAGCCACCTCCAGGTCATCCTCCACCACCACAGCTGCTTGATATTTGAAGGTACGGAAGATTTGGCTCAAGGCCCAACGGTAATGACGGGCAATTTTATAATAGCCCTGGAATTTTCGGTGCTCGGTTGGGACAGGTACACTGCTAAGGTCAGGTTGTTTAATGTGCATGATGGCGTTGCCATATGAAGCAATGACCTGGGCCGTTGCCTTGTGCCCACAGTCCTGGCTCACGATGATGGGAAACTGCTCAGCTGATGGCCTGTAGTGGAGAAGCTTATCTAGGCAACGACGAACTGTGCTGCGATCACAAGCGATGACTAAAACGGGAAGGACAGATACGGCAGAGGCTGGGGTTGGGCGGGACACAGCGGCAGGGCCCGCGGTAGCCGCCTGGTGTCTCCGGCTCCACAGCACACTGTGCTTCCGGATTTGCTGCAGCAGCCCCTGCTGTCGCTCCAGCTCTGTCTCCGCCTCCTGGGCCAGACGGATCACTCGTCGGGTGAGGCTGGCAGGGTCGTCAGCAAAGGGGTCCTCGGATGATGGGCCACCAGGCAAGGGTCGGGCCCAGAAGAAGAAGAGGAGCAGGGCGTTCCAGGCCACAAAAAGAATCGCACCCCAAAGCACCAGCCCTGCAGACTGCTTCTTCAGCATCCTGACCCCTCACAAGAGGGGTTAGAAGAAGTTGCTGCAGAAGGGACTTGGGGGGGGGGATGTGGGAGAAGAGGAATGAAGCAGGGGAGGAAGCACCTTTTATCCCCTTTGCTCAGCCCCTGTCCTGGTGTCTAAGAAGATGCTTTTGGTAATCTGGAGGATCAGACAGCAGCCATGGACCTGGAGAGAGCAAAAGGATAGTAAACATCAAAAAATCAATGCTTAATTCAACATAGTTCAAGAATAACAGTTAGAGAGGCACAGGGACAGAGGCAAGGGAGTGAAGGATATTAAAATGTCTCCTTCCCTGAAGAATTCTCAGAAAAAGAGTCTCCCTCCCACTTCCCCAAATCTGACCATCCTATATATAGGATAAAAGATTATAATGGGATACCCCCCTAGAAAGTAAGAGTTTTCAAAGAGCAGTCAACTGATTAAGAAGTAGTACAAGGGCAGAAAAGACAGAATCAATTAATCAAGAAGCAAAAGAAGAAGCAAAAATAGTCTATATCCTCAAGAAGTCTTTATTTTAACACAGGAGACAGCACATACACACCTACACTTTAGGAAAATAATCATTTGGCAGCTGACTAAAAGATAGATTGGTTTGGGGATAGACTTTAAGTATGAGGTCCCACATACAGTCATCATTTGATCTGTATCGACAAACCCACACACAATCTTCAGTCTCTTTCAGAGGCTCCAAACAACTCCATTCCTCTCTCCTCATATACCCAAATACGAGTGCTTAAAGATTAGTGTAAAACCACATCACACCTATCAGATTGGCTAACATGACAGGAAAATGATGTTGGAGATATGGGAAAATTGGAACATTAATGCTTAATTAATAGTAATTTATAAATAATTAGTTAATTAATGTTGGTGGAGTTGTGAACTGATCCAACCATTTTGGAGAGCAATTTGGAACTATGCCCAAAGGGCTATAAAAATGTGCATACCCTTTGACTCAGCAATAGCACTTCCAGGGCTGTATCCCAAAGAGATCATAAAAATGGAAGAAGGATCCACATGCACAAAATATTTACAGCACCTCTTTCTGTGGTGGCAAAGAATTAGAAATTGAGGGGATGTCCATCAATTGGGGAATGGCTGAACAAGCTGCGGTATACGAATGTAATGGGATGCTATTATGCTATAAGAAATGATGAGCAAGCAGACTTCAGAAAAACCTGGAAAGACTTGAATGGACTGATGCTGAGTGAAGTGAGCAGAACCAGCAGAACACTGTACACAGTAACAGCCACGTTGTACAATGACTAATATTGATAGACTTAGCCTTTCTAGGCAATGCAAGGATCTAAGATATCTCCAAAGGTCTCACGATGGAAAAAGCTATCCACATCCAAAGAAAAAACTATAGTTTGAATGCAGATTGAAGCATACTATTTGTAATTTTTTTTTGTTGTTTTGTTTTGTTTCCTCTTTCTGGTGGTTCCTCCTATTGGTTCTAATTCTTCCTTACAACATGACTAATGTGAAAATGTTTAATAGGAACGTATATGTATAGCCTATATCAGATCATGTGCCATCTTGGGGAGAGAGGGGAAAAAATTTAAAACTCAAAAGCTTATGGAAGTGATTGTTGATAAATCGAAAGAAATTAATAAAAAAAAAAAAGAAATGATGAGCAAGCAGACTTCAGAAAAACCTGGAAAGACTTGTATGGACTGATGCTGAGTGAAGTGAGCAGAACCAGGAGAACATTGTTTGATGACTAACTTTGATAGATTTAGCTCTTCTCAGCAATGCAGAGATCTAAGACAGCTCCAAAAGTTTCATGATAGAAAATACTATCCACATCCAAAGAAAGAACTATGGAGTTTGAATGCAGATCGAAGCATACTACTTGCTCTTTTCTCTTCCTTCTGTTTTATTTTTTTTCTTGTTTCTTGTGGTTCCTCCTATTGGTTCTAATTCTTCCTTAAAACATTGTCTCTATCAGATTGCATATTGTCACTGGAAGGGAAGAGGAGAAAATTTAAAACTCAAAAGCTTATGGGGGGCAGCTGGGTGGCACAGTGGATAGAGCACTGGCCCTGGATTCAGGAGGACCTGAGTTCAAATCCAGCCTCAGACACAAAACACTCACTAGCTGTGTGACCCTGGGCAAGTCACTTAACCCCACTGCCTAGCCAAAAAACAAAACAAAACAAAACTAAAACTAAAAAAGCTTATGGAAGTGATTGCTGAAAACTAAAAATTAATTAATTATTAAAAAAAAAAAGAGGTCAGTGTAAAAATTATTTCAAAATTAAAGGGATATTGTCCACAACTTTGGACAGTCTAGTATATCGATTTGATCAAGCGTTTCTTACAAATTCAATAATCTGCAACAAACTAACTTGGATCTCTTTTATAACCAAACCAATTTATGCAACTAAGCCATCTTTTTTCATTATGAGCTAATTTCTTATGTGAGGTCCCTCCTCACCCCCAGCTAACTTCATTCCCTTCTTTCCACTACATCTCTCCCCCCACATTCCACAAGATCTCCACTAGTATGTCCTTTTGCTCCAGTTCCCCTTCAAAATAACTGAAACGTCATGAAGTAGTCAGAAGATCTGAATTCAAATCTTACCTCTGCCACTTACTACCTAATATGTCGGCTGAATCATTCAACTTGTCCAAGTTTCAGTTTTCTCATCTATAAAGTAGATTTATAATACCTGTTCTGTCTACTTCAAAAGATCATCACAGAATATTGTATAGAATAGTCTAGTTTATAGGATGATATACAGATCAAACGGGATCTAGTAGACATAAGTACTTTACAGGAAACTATAAAGTAGTTAATAGATGATGGAAAGTATTATTATTACTACCCTCTGACTCGCTATTTAACCTAGCCAGTCATTCTTTAACTCCTTTGCCAAGTATCTAGATTCTCACTCACCTTGATCTCTTCGGAACTTTAACATCTTCCTAAAAGGTCTTTAAAGTGACCACATCAAAGACTTCTCTGACATTCCCCCTGTAATTTGCCTATCATTCACAACCCTAACTCTGCAGTTTAATTTTCTCAGAAACTTTAACATCAATTTCCTCTTATTACAACTCACAAAATAAAGTTTTCAGGACTTCTGCTTTCTTTTTTGTAGTCTTCTACATACAAACTAGATAAATATCCCCTTCTTCTCTTTTCTATCCTCCCACCCCCCATTCACCCACAGCTCTTATTCTTACTTATAGGTCCACTGCTTTCATAATATTCTCCTGCAGCTTCCCTAGAGCCTCAGCTTCAAGGATAAGGTATTATGCTTTCTTTGTCGGGGAGGTTATCCTCCCAACTGCTGACAGAGCAGTGAGCAGATTCCAGGCCTTCAAGGTGCCTTCTTTCCCAATAACGAGGAGCTAAACGGTGATACAGGCTATTTGGTAAATGCCAGGAAGAAGCCAACTTGCAGCTACTTCCATATCCCAGAATTCTTTTACTGAATTAACCTAACCTTTGGGTGAGATGAAGAGTGGAAAGAGGAGGAAGGAGTGGCCAAAATATATTGGTTAATTCTGAACCATCAGTGTTAACAGAGGCAAATTTCTTCAGCTCTCTGGGGTTAGCACAGAGAACCTAAATCAAAACACCATGTGTTCTGCCTAACTCTTCCTTTCCCCTTACCACTCTTTTTCAAACCAACACTTCAGATACTTATCTCTAGTGGTAGAGGATGAACTGACTTGTCATGCCACTGGTGTTCCAGGATGCAAGACTAATCCTGTATCACACTTTCACATGTCCTGGATCTTCAAATAAGATCCCTTAGTCTAATCCTGCCCTCAATCTAAATCCCATCTCTCCTCATCCCTAATAGTGGAAGAACTTGAGGCAAGATGAACTCACTTTCTGGACCTTTGTTCAGTCGAGTCAAGATTCTTTGTGACCCCATTTAGGCTTTCTTGGCAAAGATACTGGAGTAGTTTGTCATTTCCTTCTCCAGCTCATTTTACAAATGAGGAAACTGAGGGCTAAGTGACTTTCCCAGGGTCACACAGATAGTAAGTACCTGAGGCTGGATTTGCACTCAGGAAGATGAGAGCCTTTCTGACTTCTGGCCTGGCACTCTACCCACTGTGCCACCTAGCTGCCCTTCTATCGAGTGGCACAGTGTTATTAAATGCTTAACCTTACTATGTCAAAATTCCTTTGGTGTGAAATGAATGTAATAAACATATTGGAAATATAATCCCTTTTCTCACAGTGACTAGAGATGTGATGCCAGGGCAAACCATCTAACCTTATCAGGACTTAGTTTCTTTGTCTGTGGGATTGAGGGGTTTGGAATAAATCCTTTTCATTTTTAATATTCTATGCTATTATGGTAATATTTCTCTCTCCCTAGCTACAAAGAAAAGGGTTCAAAGAATAGCTTGTAAATAGATATCAGATGCAAACAAAAGCCCTGTGATAAAATAACCCCAAATAGCAGATAATCCAGAAATCTCATTTGAGATTACTTTGAACATATTAGAAACAGGTTTAGCCTTTATTACAAAGCACTTAGATAAACAAAAAGCATTTCCCAACAATAAAGACTTACAGACATTAATTAAAGTGAATTAAGAAAAGTTGTAAGAAAGATCTTTAAACACAAGAAAAAATCTGATCTGGGGTACAAAACAGAAAGGGAGTAAGGTGGGAAACGGAGGTGTATTCTGTCAGGAGGCAAACAGACAAGATGATGATGATGTCTCCAAAAGTGTTCATAGCCAAAAGTTTATAGAATGAAGTCCCACTCATATCTGAGCTGCCCCCCCACTCTCTCCCTTCTCCCCACACATACAAAAAAAGAAGAAACACTCAGACAAAACTATAAGATCGATCAGTCAGTGGACATTTATTAAGCCTACAAGGCAGAAACCACATACTATAGTGGGGATACAAAGACAAACATGAAGCAGTCACTGACCTAAAGGGACTTACATTCCATATCAGAAAAGGCATGTAGAAAAATAAACATGAGGTAGGTTTTTAGAGAGAGGCATTAGCAACTTGGGATAGGGTCCTGAGAAATTACCTTGTCCAAACCCCTCATTTTACTGATGGAGAAACTGAAGCCTGGTAAGTTATCTTTGACTACATAAACCAGTACAAGTCTTAAAGATGCGGAAACTGAGGCTCTGAAAAGCTGACTTGCTTAAAGGAACAAATAAGTGCTAGCTAGAGAGGATACAAGCCTCGCCTTACGGACTTCTGATCCAGTACTCCCACCACAACCCGAATACATACTCCTAGTAATCAATAAAACGAAATTTTGAATTTGTGTCTTCTAACTCTATATCCAATGGGAGTTTTTTTCCCCCATTATACGATAAAGTAAACAAGTAAAAAAGGGAAAGAAAAAGTATTTATGAAAATAGGGCCAATATGCAAAACCATCCCTTTGGACTCTAGAACTACAGTGTCCTGCCCCTTAGACACCCTTCACTCCTCAGTTCATTTTCTCCCAGAACCCAACTATTCGGTCTCAGAACCTCTTCTTCCACCTGCACTGAATTCCTGAAATGACACAACATGACTAATGTGGAAACATTGATATGACTGTACATGTATAGTCTATATCAGATTGCTTGCCCATCTTGGGGAAGGGTGAGGGGAGGGAGAAAAAAATTTGGAACTCAAAATTTTACAATGTTGAAAGCTATCTTTACATGTAATTGGAAAAAATAAAATATTATTAAATAGGAAAAAAAAAGAATGGGTGATGTGACGTACTGACTGGGTTTACAAGTTTATACTAAATAGGGTCAAAAGCTAAAACAGTTTTTGTTGCTCTTTTATAATCAAGCAAATTTGATTTTGCTTCATGTTTATGATTTAAGGGGGTAATAGGGTTTCCAAAGACCAGGGTTCCACAATGACACAGACCTTAATCAGTTGTGTGCCTCAGGGCACGTAAGTCACTTAACTTCTGAAAGCCTGGTTTTTTTTCATATGTCAATGAGGGACAATAATGCTTCTACAATATACCACACAAAATTGTTGGGAGAAAACAGCATTTGTAAGTTGTGACATGCTAAATATATATGAATAATTACTAGGGAAAAAAAGAAATCCAGAAATGATTCCAAGCATATTGCCTCTGTAGTGACAACAGTTTAGTTCATCCTCTCTCCCCAACCCTAAGTCCCTTTCAGAAACCTGGTGTCCCACGAAGTAATCTCCTTCCCCTTCCTTCTCTCCAAATTACCTGCTCCTCCTTCCTCAGGATACAGACATCCTTCCCTTTCCAAACAAAACATTATACAGGATCATAGCTTTAGAGCTGAATTATCTAAGGATAAGGCCTCTAGTTTTTCTCCCCCTAACCTCGAAGTTCATTTATGCCAAGGCCCCAGATCTTCCCCCTCATTCTTCAAAAGTATTAGCTCCTTCAAAACTAGAAAAAGGACAGGGGTAAAATATGGAGTTCTGGGAAAAGGTCAAACAAATGTTCACTCCCAATATTAACTCCTGGCCTTAAAAGCCAATTTTAAGCCAAGCTTAAAAGCACACTCCTTTCTTCCAGATCCAATCCTCAGTCTCTACAAAAACACACATATCCCGCCCTTCTCTCCCCTCACCCCCAAGGGCATACTCATTTCCCCAACAAACACAGGCTCTTTTCCCCAAAACAAAATTTCCCTTCAAGTTTCACAATAACTCCCTCGTCGCTCCAAAAAAGATCCTTTCCACATCTGGTCGCCTGAATTCCAAATACAGTGCTCAGTGTTCCTACTTTCCTGAACTCTCCCTCAGGGGAGACAATATTAAGTAAATAAAATCCACCCCTCAAAAAAGAAACTAAAAAAGCTTAACCACTCACCACACAGCAGATGCTGCCCCACATGTTGCCTGACCACCGAGCCCCAAACAACATTTTAGCCATCCCGCCCCCGTCCACACCTCTCTGCCCTCTACCCCGGAGGACTAAGGAGCTCGGGGAGGTCAGCCCCCCGAGCTGGGCAGTGCTTTGGTTTGGTTTTTCTAGGAGGGGGTGGGGGGGTGGCGAAGGGCTCTGGGATCAAGCCGACGCTGCCCCTTCCTTCTCTCGGTGACGCCCCCTCCACAGCCCCCTCGGACCCCGGCTGCCCGCTTCCACTATCTCGGGCACTTTCAGAACCTCTCTGGTCCCAGAGATTTTTGCCCAAATCCCTCGGTCCCTCCCTCGATCAGCCCGGGAGCCCAAGCTGCCTTCGCGGGCCCCCTCAACTTCCTGCCACCGCAAACTTTCCCCAGTTACCGAAGGGTCGCGCCCGTCGCCGCCTGCCGTGGGCCGGGGGCCGCTCGCCCGCACGACCCCGACTCCAGTAGCGGCAGAGCCCCGATGGACGGCCGGCAGCCAGCGACCTCCGCCCCGGACGCCCCTTCCTGAGGCTCCAGCTGGGCCCGCCCCGGCAAAGCAACGTGGCCCTTCCCCCGTGGAAGGGAGGGTAGGGAAGGAGTTCCGCCCAGGAGGCGGGGTCGTCGGGGGCCGGAGCCGCCTCCAGGGCCGCGGACGGAGCCGGGGCTGCCGGCGGCGCCGTGCAAGCGGTGGTTGCAGGCCGAGAGGCCGAACTAGAACAGAGAAGTGCCTCCATTCTCTCCTTCGCCAACTCCTCAGTGATCTCCACTTTTTAGTTACACCAGGCAGTCCTAACGCCCTCTCACCTAGAGCTAGACAGGCAGGTCCCCGAGCCCCCTCCTCTGCCCTCCCTTCAAGTGTCTATCCTCCCCTCCAGCTCTCCTTCCATTCTAAGCATTCATTGTATTACACACGATAATGGGTCACGGGATCACGGGAGACTAGAGACGAAGAAGTCAATCAATAAGCATTTATTAAGTGCCTAGCATGTGCCAGACACTGGAGCTACAGAATAAAAAACAGTTAAGTCCCTGCACTCAAGCTTACATTATACGTGGGAAACAATACCTAAGCCAAACAGGGTTTATGTTTTTGAGGGGAAAGAGAAAAAGAGACAGAAGCACTAGCTTTGAAGGAAGCCAGGCATTCTGAGAGGTAGAGAGGCCACAAAGACTTCCAAGCAAAGGAAGCGGTCTATACTGGCAGCACAGGGCTGAGAGATGCAACGTTGCATGCAGAGAACAGCAAATAGGAAAGTTTGGGGTTTTCCAAACCTTACTATGGACAGAGTGCATGAAGGGGTATAAATCCTTTCCCAGGCAGGGAAGATAGGTTGGGGCTGGACTGAGGAGCTAGAAGGGACAGAGTCTGTATTTTATTCTTAAAGGAACACATGGAAGCAGTACGGAGCCACTGAAGCTTTGTTGTTGTGTTTTTTTTTTAACAGGGAAGTAACATGGTCAGATCTCTAAGATGATCAGTTTGGTAACTATATGGAGAATCCATTGGAAGGAAAAGAGACTTGAGGCAAGAAGTCCAACTAGGAAGTTCAGGAGCCACACAGTTCAAAAAAGAGTAATTCAAGACTTAACTAGGGTGACTGTGTTAGTAAAGAGAGGAGACCAGATGTGATGGCGGTAGAATTGACTTGGCAGCTGATTGGCTATTTAGGGACAATGAAAGTGAAGAGTCCAGGAGGACTTCAAGGTTTCAAAACTGAATGGTGCAATGGTGGTACCTTTAACAGAACTATGAACACTAGGAAAAGTGGGTTGGGGGAAAACTTAATGAATATTTTTTGAGACATGCTTAATTTATGATGCCTATGGACATAAATACCCCATAGGCAGCTGATAATATAGGACTGGGCCTCAAGATACAGACTAGGGCTGGAAGCTATATGTATAGAGATGATAATTAAACCCACAAAGTGTAGTGAGGAAAGAGGACCCAGAAAAGCCTTGGGCTACACCCAGTTAGGGCACAGGACATGGACAATGACCCAACAGAGATAATCCTAAAAAGGAGCAATCAGATAGCTAGAATAGGGACCAAGAGAGCAACGTCATCTAAACAGTGTCAAATACTACAGAAACAATCAAGAAAGAAAAGGACTAAGAAAAGGTCACTGGACTCAAAAGTTACTGGTAACCTTGGAGAGAGCAGTTTCAGTTGAATGATAAGATAAAAAGCCAGATTACTGGAGGTAAAAAGCAAGCAAGAACAGAAGTAGAGTACAGACAAAGTTTTCTAGGAATTTGGTTGTAAAAGACAGAAGACTAACTTAGGATGATAGTTTGAATGGATGACAGGCTTACATGAACTTTTGTTTTGTTTTTTTAAGTATGGGTAAGATATGAATATGTTTACGGCAGCGGGAAGGAAGTTAGTATAAGAGAAGAGTGAAGACTGGATAGACAAGAAATAACAACGAAGCAAGCTGCTGAAGGAGACCAGAAACCATAGAATCAAGGGTACAAATAGAGAAGGCTGTCCTTAGAAAGGAGAGAAGCCTAGAGAATGGGGTAAAGGAGGAATGAATAGGAAATGATTAGGAGTACTGAGATGTAGAGTTTCAGGAAAGAAGAAACTCACAGAGACTACCCCCTTATTTTCTCAGTAAAGTATGAGGCAAGATCCTTTGCTGAGAGGGAAGAGGGAGCTGTGGTGTGTGAAGCTTGAGGAGAGAAGAGATTTGGAACAGCCACTATGATGAACACAAGAATCAATTAGAGAAAAGCAAAAGGATTGTCTTCAAAATGAAGGAAGGTTCAGCTTTGATTAAATATCAATTAAATAAATATATAGTAAATAGCAGGTTGTGTGATTTGCTCTAGCAGTATATAAGTAGGATCTGAGGTGGTAGATGATGGGCTTAATTAAAGGTTGGGGTTTGGCAAGGTCTAATCCCCTTATTTTACAGATGAGGAAAATGAGGCCCAAAGAGCCTAAATGATTTGCCCAAAGTCACTGAGTATGTGTTAAAAGTTAAATTTTGTACCCAGGTCTTCTGACTCAAAATCCAATTCTCTTTCCATTGCACCATGCTTACTAGGTACAAACGAACATGATTCAGATCTAATCCCAGCTCTGCCACTTACTACTTGGACAAATACTTACCACTTACCTTGAGTAATTCAATTAACTTCTCAGGGCCTCAGTTTTCTCATCTATAAAATGAAGGAGTTAAACTAGATCTCTAGATCCATTTCTAATTCCAATCCAGGAGAGAAGCTGAAGAAAAAAAGGGGAGGGGGTGAGGGGGAAAGGAAAAGAGAAGATTAGAGAAGGGAAGTGAAAACAGGAACTTGAGAGTATAGAGAGAGCAGAGAGGAAACATCTGCAGTCAAAACTGAGCTCCTAGTTTCTGATCTGTATATCTGGGAGTAGGTATAGGCACAAGTAGGGTTCTTGTTTAGGAGCTAAGTCCTGAGAAAAGAGTAAACAGGATGCTTAGATCCTGAAAGGGAATGATCTCTGGCATGGTAGAAAGATCACTGAACTAGGGGTTGGAAAACCTGAATTCATAAAATCTTTCCAGTATACCACATTGCCTATATAATTACTACTAGTCCCATTTTCCCAGACCTTCTTCCTTAATCCATGCTTTTCTCCCTCTAATTCAGAATAGGAGCCTTGATTAGACAATAGCAGTTTGGAACTCTTAACCTATGTGTCTCTTGCATGTAGTGTCTGATCTGTCCCTATCACAAAATTCAATGCACTCTGACCCCCTCTCTGATCAAAGAATTATAAAATCTTGGCATTGGAAGTTACCTTTATTCCAGCTCCTTGTCCTGCAGATGAAACCCAAGGCATGTCTAAATATGCCTCATTATAATCAAAGTTGGTAGGCTTGTGGGTCCCTCCCCCAAAGTTGCCAGTGTGCCAAATTTTCCATAGACTGAAAAAGGGTAGAAATGCTCTGTTTCTGGCTGCCTTCAAGAGAGGAAGATGAACAGCTGGTGGCCTCTTAGTGGGGGAGAGGCTTCTGGTCTTGTGAGATTTCAAAAGGTTGGAGGAGCAGATGTGCAATGACAGTAGTCCTTGCCAGAGTTTGTCACTGAACTCCATGAGGATCAAGCCTGTGTAACAATGGTTCCTCAACAACTGAAAAACCATACTCTTCAGCAAGGGAGCAACACTTCTTGTGACTACATTCCTTTATTACATTCAGAAGTGAACCTGGTGGGGCAAATGCTTTGTAACAACTGCTTTAAGTTTGAGCCTACTCTCCCCAAGAACTGAGGGGGGGGGAAGAGGAAGGGTGTGCCCCAGGTCCAAAAGGATGTGTTTATACTCTATTCTTGTTATATATTCTCAGTAAATATCCCTATTGTTAGAGCTAAAAAAAATTTTTTTTAAAGGTAGAAAGCACTTGGCTCAAGACCCAAAGCAGAAGGACCTGGAATCAACTTGTAGAAGAAAAGGTAGAGTAGGGAAAAAATCTCGAGGTAGAGGAGATCAAGTTCCCACTGACAATGTAGCAAATTATTGCCTCTGAAAAAAGATCCTTTCCCCGAAACCAGTTTTACTTAGAAGACGAGAGAGAGATTGAAGGGGAGAGTCAAGGAAGAGGGAGATGAGTCTTTGGCCTGATTTAGTCAACTTTATTTACTCCCAATAAACTTTTTTACATGTTGATATCCCTTGCTTTCCAGTTCATCCTGATCTGCACATTCACATCACTTCGACTGTGTATCCAAACTATATATTCTTGATCTCAACATCATCTACAGGTGTTCAACCCCATAAGTCTGAAATTCCTCTGACCATAATTGAAGTTCTCCTTACATCTCTTCCTAAATCTACTTTTTGTCTTCTACACACCATTCAGTCACTTTATCTTTCCTTGCTTTCTATGCCGTCTTCTCTGTTTTGTCCTCACTCTTCTCCCTTCAAAACTTAGACTGTAAGGTTAAGCAATTCAACTTTAACATCCTCTACCTTTGAGACCCCAGGACCTCTGTCCCATTGACATTCATTACTTTCTAAACTTCATTTCTAAATTGTAATAAAAATAACTAACATTTATAGCACTTTATATTATTTCATTTCATTCACATAACAATCATGTGAGGAAAGTGCTGTTTTACATTCCCATTTTACAGATGGGGAAAGTGCACTGAAAGAAAAAAGTCACTGTAAGTAACTTGAGCTATCAGTATCTTAAACAGGGTTTGAACTCAGGTATTCCTAACTCCAAGTCTAGCACTCCATCCACTAAACCCCACCATTTGAATTCTCCATTCCTATTCCCATGCTGCTAACCACTCCTGGAGGAAACATGCCAATAGGATCCACCACAAATTTAAACTATCCAATCTGACTAGGCCTTCATTACTGTACTATCAATCCCTTTCCTTCCTAGACTCTCTCATTCTTCAAAGAGTCTGCTCCAAACCTTTTCTCCCCCTGCTAAAGAAATTTAGCAGAAAGTCTTGAATTATACTTGACTGAAAAAAAGACCTCATCATGAGCTCCCTCTCTTCAATCTGACTTTAAATCTGACCTTTTTCTCACTTCCTTTGCTCTGTATCAGATGCAAAGGTGGCTCTTCTCTTTGCTAATAACAATCCGGATATTCATGCCCTTAATCTTGTCCCTCCCCATCTCCTTCATAAGCTTGTTCCTTTGATCCTTCCCTCCCTAATTTTTTTATTAAATTTCTCTCCCTATTTCCCTTCCGTTAGCTCTTTCCCTATTGCTTACAAACATGCCTGGATTTTATTTCTCATTTTCACAGCCAAAAAGCTACCTACATTCATTGCCTTCACCTTCTTTACCACTTACTTCTCAGCCCCTTATAATCTGGCTTTTCGTCCCCACCTCTTTAATCAAACTTCCCTCTTCAATGCCACTAATGATCTCTTTATTGCTGAATCCAATAGTTTCCCCTTAGCCTTCATCCTTCTGGAATTCTCTGAAGCATGTGACACTCTTGTTCACTCTCTTCTCCTGAACACTCTCTCCTACTTGAGTTTCTGTCACACTGTTTATTCTTGTAAGGTTTTCCTTCCACCTCTTTGACAGCTCCTTTTCAGAATCACCATCTATAGCCCTTCCTCTTGCTAGGTACAGGTGTATCTGCTGGATTTGCACTGGTTCCTCTCACCCAGTAATGTCATCAGTTTCTATGAGTTCAAACTATGCAGATGACAACTGCTCCCGTTCTGTACCTCCATCTTATATGGCCCATCTCAAACACAGCCCTTCCAAAAAAGAACTCATTATCTTTCCCCCAAATTCTCCCCAATGCCTTCCCCATTTCTGTCAAGGATATCACCATCCTTCCAGACATCCAGATGTGAAAGAGTAGCCACATTTAACTTTGCACTTTTATTAACATCCCCCACATCCAATCAGGTGTCAAGTGCTGCCAATTCTTCCTCCATTAACTCTCTCAAATCTGACCCTACTTTTCTATACTCACACACACAACCACCCTAGTTCTTGCAAGTGTTCATTATCACTCACCTAGATTAACAAAATTGCCTGTCTCCCTAACTCTCCTCTCCATCCTGTCCTTCACACAATTGCCAAATTGGTATTCCTAAAGCACAAGTCTGAGCAAGTCATTCCCCTATCTTGAGGCCATTCAATGGCTACCTAGAGCCTCTAGAATAAAATACAAATGCATCTTAAAATATCTGTTAGAAATCTGAGACTCTTCTCAGTCTGCTTATAGTCTATGTTTCTGGGCTGATTACACATCATTCACAATCATACACTATTCTCCAGCTTAACTGACATACTTGATGTTCTGTGTATATGATTGTACAGCTTCTGATTCCATGCCTTTGTGCAAGCACCATGTCCCTCATGCCTGCTCTCCTTTCTAACCACCAAATCCTGGAAAACAACATTCCCTTCACTGAGGAAGAAAGTATCCAGTTGGACGAGGAAGTCAATGTCTTCAAAGGCTGCTGCACTTCTCAGGATCCTTACTTTTCTTGAAAGTTCAATTCAGGTGCCACTTTTTCCAAGAATCCTTCCCTGATTCTTCCCCCCCTTCCCGGTATTGTACTCTCTCCAATCTCAATAGCCCTTATAGGTATGCATGTATATATTATAGTTGAATGTAAGCTCACAAAGCAGGAGTCCTTACCCCAGACCTGTACAACATATAGCCTGCAAAAAAATGTAGGGTTGCCAATGCACAATCTCCTGTTTGTCAAGTGACCAGCGGCAACCAATCAACATCAGTCTGTCTCTAGTCCAACCTCTCTGTGGCAGAAGTTTACAAGTTGTGCAGGTCTGCCTTAACCATTTTGTGTGGCATGCATCCCTTCTTTGAATAAAGTTTTCAAATGCATAAAATACACAGAATTACAAAGGAGCCCAATTATATCAAAACAAAATGTATGTTCTTAAAAAGACAAGTAAGTTCATAGACCCCAGGTTAAGAACCTGTTTTATAGAGTAGAATGGGCAGCAAGGTGACACAGTGAATAGAGTGCTGGGCCTGGAGACAGGAACTCATCTTCCTGAGTCCAAATCTGGCCTCAGTCACTGACTAGCTGGGTGACTCTAGGCAAGTCACTTATCCCTGTTTGCCCCAGTTTCCTCCTCTATAAAATGAGCTGGAGAAAGAAATGACAAACCAGTCCAATATCTTTGCCAAGAAAATCCCAAATGAGGTCACAAAGAGTCAGACACAACTGAAGGTAAAGTAGATACTGCTCTTTTTTTCTTTAAATCTCTTTAAATTGTGCCTGGCACAATTCTTTACATGTTTTTGAACTGAATTGAATTAAATTGTTGTGAGTTTCTTTGCCTCTACCCTCTCATAACCTCCACATTCTGCTCCCATCCCTTGACCTACATAAGGCTGATAACATTTCCATTTCTAAACACCTGAACCTAGGGCTCCTATCAGAAGGTAGGTATGTGACCTGTTTGGTATTTACAATTCACTTCCCCTCCACCATTCAGCAACCAGACTCATGCTCCCTCTTCTTCCTCATCCCCCTCACACTTCCAAATTAAGGCTTCATGACCTTCATGTTCTGCTTCTCAATCCAGACACATTCTCTCCTATAACCCAAGAATTTTGCCTTCTCGTTACTTTCTATCTCTAGTCATTCTCTTCTCAAACCTGTATGCTATTCTCCCTCTGCAACTCAAAAGGTTCCATTTCCCATTCTCTGTGACTGGAATTTAAAACCAATGAATCAAAGGATAGGATTAAATTAAACTGAAATCAACAAATATTTACCTTGTACTTACTGTGTGCCAGGCACTGTGCTAGGCACTAGGGGGTACAAATATAAAAACAAAAGTCTCTACTCTCAAGGAATTTACATTCTACTGGAGAGAGAGAGTGTGTACAGAAATAAGTAGAAAGAACCTGGGGAAATCAGGGAATGCTTTCAAGAGATGATATCTAAGTTGATTTTTAAAGGAATATAAGAATTCTTAGAGGTGAAGATGTGGAGGAGTGCATTCTAGGCACAGAGACCAGTGTTAGGAGATGGAATATTAAGTATTAAGAAACTGCTAGTAATTCAGTTTAGCTGGAATGTAGAATTAGTGATAACAAATATGGAATAGAGCTGGAAAAGTGGGCAGGAGGAAGACTGTGGAGATCTTAAAAGACCTGATAAGGAGTTTGTATTGTAGTCTTAAAACTTAGCTGCTTCACCCATTGTCTTCTTCCCTCTGGAGTCACAGAAGTATCCCTGTTCTTCATTAAGGTTAATTCTTATACCTGTACCCTTGATTCTATTTGTCCTTGCCTACTCCACATTCTTCCGTAGTCTTTCCCTCTCTGACACACATCTTCTACCTCTTCCTGTTCACTGGCTCCTTCCCAACCACACACAAACATGCCTAGGTCTCCCCAATTCTATAAAAACTTTTCCTTTGATCCAATTATTACCATCTAGCTACCAGACCATCCCTCTTCTCCCCTTCATTGCTAAATTTCTGGGGAAAAGTTGTCTTTGCCTCATTTTTCTACTTATGACTATGGAAGCATACTGAGCCCTAGTCAATCTCCTTCTCTCTTTAGGGTATATAATACAAAATAATATTAGGACAGTCTTTTAGTCTGAAGTCCTTGTTCCAATCAGAATGAAAAATTTGATCAGTCTTTATCAAGTTCCCAAAAATGTCCTGCACTGAAGACTTTTTACATCATTCTTATTGAGGGCTTAACCAGTTTCTACTGGGAAAGGCCAGATTGTCCTGGAAGTCATAAGGTCAACGGTCAGACTAAGAGAAAAAGAAGTCTTCGATAAATTTGGTTAATAGAAGTAGCTTGAGTTCACCTTTGATCAGGCAGAAAGAAGTTTCTCCTGGGTGTACAGATTGTTTTATTTGATAAAGCAAAATGTTAGCTGAACTTTCACCTGAGTTCTGTAAAAATGTTTTATCTCACTGAGCAACTGTATCTCTAGGAATTCTAATAAACAGTAACTTCAAAATGGCTTAAGAGCTTCTCAAAGGCAGGATGGATTTCTGGGTCTTTCCAAATTTTCTCCCTCTCTAAGCCAAAATGCTTAGAATTAGAGTATTTTAATTAATAAATTTGTCTCTGGCAAACCTGTGGCCAAAACACTGCATATGGTATTTTTTTTCTCACCACCTCTTCTCTGTCCACAATGGAGACAGCCCAGGACCTTGAACTAAAGAACCAAGGGAATACCAATGTTCCCCATACCTCCAATACCATTTCCAGCCTGGATTTCACGACCAACCATCATTGAAGAGTACAATCATTGTCAAGAAGGGGTCTACCAACCACTGACCAGATGCCACCAAAAGTCCAGGAAGTAGTAGTACCCCCAGACTACTGATTCTGATTCCAGTTCAGACTCCACAGCCATCAGCATAGGAAGCAATCTTTGTGGAGACATGACCAGGAAACTACTTCTGTTAGTACTGTACTATAACACCCACCTCTTTCAAGCAACCACAGCTACTAAAGATCCAGAAATGAAAATTTCTGCCACGAAAGTCTTTAGCATTGTCAAAGGATTCAACAACAGGAAGGGATATGATTTTCTCCATGTAAATGACATTAAAGGAGTTGCATTCATAACTCCTTTGCTTCTATACTATCAGGTCTATGGGGCTTTTCCATGTGACTTGCAACTGAAACTACCTTTATGTATTGTTTCCTCCATTAGAATGTGAACTCTTTGGCACACTTTTACATTTGTAACTCCAGACCTTAGCACAGTACTTGGCATGTAGTAAGTGCTTAATAAGTGCTTTTCATTCATTTATTCAGTCACTTCAAATGTGCAATCTGGCTTTCACTTATACCAGTCTGATGAAACCACACTCTAAAAAGTCACGAATGACTTCCTAACCACCAAATACAAAAAATGTTTTGTTGTTTCCAATTCATACCCTCCTTATTCTCTCTGGAGCTTATGAGAGAACTGACCACCAGTCCTAATAAATAGTTATTCCTCCCTCAAATTCAGAGATACTCTCCTAATTTTTCTCAACTCTCTAACGGCTCCTTCTCTATCACTTTCCCTGGCCCTTCAATCCCTCCCCCAAGAATCAGTCCAAAGCCCTCCTCTCTTTATATTTCCTTCCACAGTCATTGGTGACAATGCAGCTTACTCCTAAACCTATAGATCCATTCCTGACCTTCTGAACTCTAGAGTTACTTCTGCAACTTCATACAGGCAGGACAGCTCCATAAGAATATCCCACTGGCAGTTCAAATTCAGTATTATCACAAATTGAGCTTTCTTTTCTTTCTTCCCAAATCTGCTTTTTACACCTTATTTCTTCCTGTAGCACCACCATTCACCCTACAGCTCTTGTTCAAAACCTTGTGTTAATCTTTGACTTTTCCCTCTCTTCAATCTTGTTACTAATAAGTTATCAAGTCCTACTGATTTCACCTCTATACCATCTCTCATATCTGAACCCTCCTTTCTATTCCCACTGCCTACTACAGACAGGTTCTACTGCAACAGCCTTTTAAGAGGTATTACTGATGCTATCCTCTCTTCCGTGGTACCCATTATTCATAGCATTGCCTGGATAATCTCTTTTAAAATCTTCAGCAGCCCCCTAAGAAATAAAAATGAAACTCTTTTATCTCTTGCCCCGGAGTCCTCACACACCAGATATCACTGGTTATTTAAAGTATTTAGTAAGTGTCCATTGAATGAAACAACTAGTTAAGAGTTAAAGTGTACAAAGCTTTTACTTTAAAGCTTTTGTGTTATATGTCATCACTTTTCCAATATCCTGATCCCCAATAAATCATGCTGAATATACTGGCTCCCAATCTGATCTGACTTAATCTCCCCCTCCCCCATATCAGCTACTAAACTAACAGAAGAAAAGAAAGCTATCATAAATTAATGTGATATAATTACTAAATTCAAATTTTCCTGAGGGTCTATTCATCTAATAGAGAAGATGATTATTTTTAAATCCAACAGATTCCAGGGTTTATCCAGAAATGGGAAGAATCAAATTCAATACAGGCTTTTAATTATAGGATAACCTCCAAAATATTAAAGTAACAACAAATAAACGGTCTTTGAAAATTCAGATTTCTTCTCTAAGAACTCAACACAGCATCATATTTACTTGAGGGATAAAAAGAGGACATATAATTTCATTTTATATGGAACTCCCAGGTAAGAGAACTCTCTTTACCAAAGCAGGTCAGCATTTTGTCTTCAACTGGTCTTGGCTGCCTAAAACACAATGGGGTTAAGTGATTTGTCCAGTGTCACACTATGTGTCAGTGACAGGTCTTGAACCCAGATCTTCCTACCTTCCTTGCCACCTATTCCACACTGCCTCTCCTCACATGCATTAATAACAATACATTTATGTAACACTTTTTAGTTATTAAAGTACTTTATGTATATTATTTCACTTGACCCCATGAGGTAAGTGGGACAAGTATGGCTGGTCTCACTGTACAGATAACATAAACTAGCTTTAGAAGTTAAGCACTTGCCTACAGTCATAAAACTGGTTAGAGAGAAAATGGTATATGTATATTCTGACTCCTAGTGCAGGGTCCTGATCTTTCCACCATACCATCACACTTCAAACTTCTCAAGTTTAGAATCCGAAGAGGGAAGGACCTGTAGTTGACCCTCTAAACCCCAGGTGGTGCCACATAACCAATCATACGTTTTCAAAAATATCTGTTTCCCCTTCTATTAAACACCTCTAGAGACAGTTCCTGATTTTTCAACGGTCTCATTCTAAATTGGTGGTAGTAGAAGAATTCCTAAGACTTCTTACCTAAATCTTTCCCATTGCCCATTCTCACTGTCCTGACTGGAGCAGAAAATGGGACTCAATTGTTGTTCACTTTTACATAGTAGCTCTTCTGTCTGAGTGGTGGGGGAAATTAAAGAAATGGAATATACTTGTGAACTGGAAACCACTTTCTAGTTGAGTCCATTCTTTACAAAGCTAAAGGTTAACCAGGAACGTAGGAGGTACGCCCCCTTCAAGAGGACTATACCAGTCCAAAGTCCCCATACAAAGACTTTCAGACCCAATGTAAGCTGACACTTCTTTGGAACCAGGGACATCAAGACCCCAAGAGGAAAAGAAGATAGCATCTTACCACTCTTCTGTTCTCTCAGTGGCACACCTTTCCAATGGGAATCACCAATCCCATTTCAAAGCTTTAGATGAGAGCCCCAAATCCAAACCCACAAAAATAAAGTGCAGTTCCCTCTCCTTTGGTCTTAGTTCAAAATCCAGAGAGCAGAGGAATTCGAGGTGTGTTCTGGAGAGAGGGCAAACAGGATTGTCCAGGCAAGGAGGGGAAAAGGGAAGGGAGGAGCTTAGGGGGGAAGGGGTATATCCAAGCCCCTCCCCCCAACCTCTGGTTTCAGTGTCTTTCCCAGAGGTCAGTATTATGAGTTCAACAGGCATCTTAAATTTTTAGTCCAGTGAGCTGATGGCATTGAGGCATTATCCCATCTCCTTTTCCAGAGCAGGGGTATCTTCTGCTGGATGAAGAATGATGTTTGTCTTCTTCCCAGGGACATCAGAAGTAGTCTTCAGAACTAGCACACACTAAAAAGCTGATATAAGTTGTTGACACCTGTGGAGCATTTAAACAAGATCATGCTCCTTTCCTTGTTCCAAAGCTTAATTAGGTCAAATTATCAAGGCATCTATTTCCTACATCCCCTCCTCTCCCCTTCTCCATTCCCTAGAATATTACTGTACAATTACACAAAATTCCTGTTGTTTTTTTCCAATAGTCTATATGTTGGCTTAGTTGGTAGCTAGGTGACAAAGTGGATAGAGCTCAGAGCCTGAAATTAGGAAGACCTGAGTTCAAATCCCACCTCTGAAACTTTCTAACTGGGTGAACCTGGGCAAATCATTTAACCCATTTGCCTCAGTTTCCGCATCGGTAAAATAGGGATAATAATAGCACCTACCTCCGAGGGCTGCTGTGAGGATTAAATGAAATAATTATTGTAAAGAGTGCCTTAGCACAGTGCCTGGTAGATAAGATAGTAAGTTCTATATGTTAACTACCATTATTATTATTACTCAAACACTTTAAAAGAATCTAAGGTCTCACCTCTATGTTAGCTAGATTACTTCTGGGAGTCACTGTTACCTAGTAACAGACTACAAACTAAAACAACATTTATTTATTAAGCATATAATAAATACCATTTTATGACTGTATGTCTCAGATTAAAAAGGGGATTGATTTCACTATAACCTATCCCTAAAAAAAGAAGTGGATTAAAAATCAAATGGTTCAAATCCTAACTTTGCTATTTATTTGCCTATGGGACATTGAACAGCCACTTAACCTCTGGGCCTCAATTTCCTCATCTTTAAAACAAGAGGGTCACCTTAGATGTCCTCAAAAGGCACCTTACGACACTCTAAAATCCAGTTCTAAAAATCTATAATCCTACAGTACAACAGTAATGTTTCTTTTTTCATTTTACACAGTATAGATTTTATATAATATAGGTTTCTTTTCATTTTTCCCACCTGCTTTCCTTAGGATCATGGATTTAAAGATCTTAAAGATCATGACCTTAGCTGTCATGTATGTAGACTCATCCCAGAAACTCACAAATGAGGAAACTGAGGTCCAAATAAGTTTTCACTTGCCCAAGTCCAACAGGTAGTTGAGAGGCTTCAGTTTTTTGGGTTCAAGGAAACTCCCTTAAGTCTCCAAAAGGAGAACTGGGATCAAATCCTGGCTCTATCAGTAGCTGCTTTTATGACCTTAGCCATCAGTTAAACTTTCCCAGTTTGTTTCCTCTTAAGCTCTTTAGTCAGTGTGGTACAACATTAAGAGTCTTAGATTTGGAGTCAGAGGGCCCAGGTTTATCATCTGTTGCAACTCTGGGCAAGTCACTTTTACTGGGGTTGTTTCCTTATGAATAAAATTAGGTTGGACTAAATAATTTATACCTTCCCTCGATTCATTCACTTAACAAAGCATCTAAATCTAAAATCCTAAGACAACATGACCTTCAATGGCCCTCCTAGCTCTAACATTCTAGGAGTGGTGAAGAAAATAGTTATCTCTATTCGCAAAATTTAACCCCTTCCCATGGAAGAATACCTTCTGATAGTTCTTCTTTGGATGTTTATGTCAACATTTTTTTCCTGTAACACAGTGCTCTAATTTCCTTTTATATATAACATAACTCCATCCTGAGCTTATTTTGCCTTCCCAATTCCTTTAAGATTATGAGGAAACTCTTACTCTCTCACCAACCTAGGCCTAAAAAAGTCTTTGTGACACTATCCCAGTCACCTTTCGTCGTCTTATATACACTAAAAATTAATTTCACCTCCCCTCCCCAGTTGTCACTTCCTTTTAACATCTAACTTTTTATATGTCACTCTTGTGATATAACTCCTTCACCTGATGTTATAAATGATTCTTTCCATGTATATACACATATAGTTATATATTTACTCCCACTTGCCCCTCCTGTGATCAAAACCCCAGCCCTCTGGTACACAACGCCCTATTATCTCCCCCCAACGGATCATTACCTGGTCCCTGCCCCTCCCCCAGCTCCAAGACAGGCTCTCAGGCCCCTCGGGATCTTCTTAAGCTCCGGGTCCTGGCCCCTCCAATCCTGGCCCGTGGCCCCCGGCCACCCCTCCCCGCCCCCCAAGAGGCCCTGCCCTCGCCTTCCTCTCCCCCTCCCACCATGCTCCACCGCCACTTCCGCCTGAGTCCGCCGGAAGTGAATCCAGGGCAACTGCAGCGGCCCGGAGCCCCGCCTCTTCATGGTCCCCTCGGTCCAGACTCCGACAGGCTAGTAACTGACTGACCTCTCTCTCTCCCCCCCTCAGGGCCTGAGGAATGGGGCGTGGGGAGCGGGAAGTGGGGAGGTGGGGAGTGGGAGGTAGAGAGTGGGAAGTGGGGAATAGAAAGCGGGGACAGAGAAGTTGGCGGGAGGCAGCGAGAAAGCAAAAGGCCGAAAGCGCAAACAACTGCGCAAGTCCGGCCGGGTTTGAAAAGGAGCGCATGCGCTCCCTCTCCCCCTCCCCACCCCCCCTCCGAAAAACAGGGAGGTTGGGGTGGCGAATGGGACTGTTAGGCCAAGTAAGGGGTTTGTGGAGGAGCGCATGCGTGGGTCTTTGCAAAAGTGGCATGAACGAGGTGTTTTGTGTCTGGTGGTCGACTTTTTTTTTACTTTTTAAAGTTTTTTCCTTTTATTGTGAACTTAACCAACGGCCCGCAAGTTTCCCAAGAGACCTTTCCGACTTCATTTCGCTTCCCTCCCCGGGTTGCACAGTAGGCCCCTTTTTTTTTTTTTTAAAGAAGTGAGCAGTTAACATCAGTAAATGAAAAATTTGCCTATTAAGGAAATGAGTGATTTTTTTTTTTTTGGTGGAGAGAAGATTTTAGATGACTGGCTCAAACTTTTAGTTGTTTTTTGCTTTTGCTCCTAAGGTTGAACCTACTGTTAAAAAAAAAAATTAGTACCTGTTAAAGGGAGAGGGAGCTTGTGGTTCTTAAGTTTTTGCATAGGCGCCTGCCTTCTTGTCCTTTGAGCGTAGGAATCTGGATCAGATAAACCACCACTTCCTCCTATCCCCGGAAGGAGGAAATAGGCCCTAGAGAAGCACATGATTTCAGGCAGAACAAGCGCTAAAAGTAAGTTCCACCAGCACAGGACCGCGTTTTTCCTAGACTCTGTATGTATTATTTTCCTTTTTCTGTTAGCCTTAGTTTGCATCAGTTCATATAAGCAGGGGTGGGGAACCTTTGGTTTTAAGGCTATTTGTGGCCTTTCAAGGTCCTTGGGTTCAGCCTTTTGACTGAGTCCAAGTTTTACAGAACAAATCCTTTAATTAAAGGGATGTGTTCTATGAAGTTTGGATTCAGTCAGGGCTGCTCTTGAGGACCTAGAGGGCCCCACGTGGCCTCCGGGCCGACCGTTCCCCACCCTTGAGTAAGGCTTTCTGTGCTTGTCTGTACTCATTGTCATCATTTCTTACAGCACTGTAGTATTTCATTACATTCACATACGGCTTAGGCAGCCCTCAATCAATAGGTATGTACCTTCTTTCCAGTTCTTTACTACTACAAAAAAGTGCTGCTAGAAATCTTTTTGTGTGTAGGGGGACTTTTTATTATTGATCCCTAGGATGGGGTGTACACTTCACAGTGAAATCTCTGAATCAATCAACCAAAAAGGAATTATTAAACATTTACTGCTAACAAGTTTGTAATGTTAAGTGTTGGGAATACAAAGAAAGGTAAAAACTTTGCCTCTGTCCTCAACCGGAGGAAGAGGACAATATATAAATACAAAGGTGCATGCAAGTTATATAGAGTAGATAAGACGGTAAGGCACTAATAGCTGGGGAGGGAGAGAGGGACCAGAAACCTCCTCCTGCCAAAGGTGGTTTGAGCTGAGTCTTGAAGTAAGCCAGGGAAACTAAGAGTTAAAAGTGAGGAGAGCATTTCAGACTTTGAGGACAGCCACAGAGAGACCGGAGATGAAGGGTTGTGTGAAAGGAACAGCATGCATGCCAGCATAGCTATACTATACATGGTTTGAAGGCAAGTAATGTGTAAGAGTAGAAAAGAGCCAAGTTAGGGGAAGGTTATTTTGTTTGTTTTTAATTCCAGCAGTAATAGGGAGCCACGGGAGTTTGAGTATAGAGGGAGGGTGGGTAGCATGGTCAGACCTAGTTCTAGGTTACCAGGAATCTTGGCCTCTGAGTTGGAGCTGGGAAGAGACTTGAGACAGAAGTCAATAGGAAGACTATTGTAGTATAGGTGAAAGGTGCTGAGGGCCTGAATTGGAGTGGTGGCTGTGTGAATGAAAAGAAGAGAGTATTTGAGACATGTTGTGAGGGTAGAAACGGCAAGATTTGGCAATTAATTGAATATATGAATATGAGTGAGAAAGTCACAGGCTGTGAACATTTTACAGACAGTGATAGTCTGAAGGCATATGTCTGACTTAACATCATTCCTCTGTTCAAAAACCTCTAGTACTTCCCCCTTGGTTAGTAAGTAAAATAAAGACTCCTGGCTTTTAAAGCCCTTCAGAACCTCACTAATATAACTTTTCAAGCTTATTGCACATGTAGGAGTATTATCTCCAAAGGTACCAACTACATAGGTTCAGCTAGTTTCTTCTAAGGCCTTGCCATTTAGGCTAGCTTTTGACTTTTTGGTTTTGTTTTTGCTTTTTGGGAGGCAGTTGGGGTTAAGTGACTTACCCATTCTGATGCCGAATTTGAACTCAGGTCCTCCTGACTCCAGACTGGTGCTCTATCCACTGCGCCATCTAGCTGCCCCGTAGCCTGGCTTTTCCTAAGCTTTTAACCAATAGGCAGCTAGATGAGATGGTGGATAGACAGCCCTGGGCTTGGAGTCAGGAAGACCTGACACCACCTATATGACCCTGGGCAAGTCACGTAACTGTGTCTCAGTTTCCTCGTCTGTTAAATGAGCTGGAGAAGGAAATGGCAAACCACTCCAGTAGCTTTGCCAAGAAAACACCAAAATGGAGTCACAAAGAGCCAGAAACAACTGAAAGGACTGAACAACAACCACCCAACAAATATTAAGCAACTTTTTCCTTAAAAGATATTAAAATTGTGATAGATTTTTTTTTCATTGGCCCAAGAGACTAAGACTTGAACCATTGACAAGTCAGGAGCTCCTTCCCTAGACTTGAAACTGATGGATCATCAAGGCATAAACAGAGACAAGGATCAGTGCTGTGTGCCTGTTGAATATCTTTCCCATGCTATGGTTAAGTAAACTTTTTGTTAATTGTTAGATGGTCTAGTAGGAGTCTCATGTCTTTTTAGTCTCAAACCTGAATCACTGGGCCTGAGTCATGCCTAGCCTACATCTCCTTCAGGCTACTCTCCTTCAGGCACTATAGACATTCAAAAGACAGAGAAATCATTATCTTGATCTCAGAAAACGTAGCTCTTGCTAGTTCAGTGAAAGAAATTCTCTCCAAGGAGAGAAATTTGAGAGTGGAGGGTAGGAGGAAGAATATACCAAACTTAGAGAGCATCACATGCCAAGGCTTGGAGGTAGGAATTGACAAGGATTTTTTATCTATTTTTAATTTTATTTTGTGGCAAGGAACACAGTAAATAGATTAGGCTATCTAGAGCAAAACATTCCTGGAGGGGGAGGGATGTCAAAGTGAGTAGCATTTCCCTGAAATATTCCACCTTCCTTCTCTTCCCCCTACCCCCATAACATAGGATAAGCCTAGTCACCTTCTCTTCCATCCTTTGTCAAGTGTTGTAAGTCATTTCTTATTCTGACTCTTTGTGACCTCATAGATCCATATTGCCCATGGGGTTTTTTTGGCAAAGGTACTGGAGTGATTTGCCATTTCCTTTTCCAATGGATTAAGGCAAACAGAGGTTAAGTGACTTGCCCAAAGCCACACAGCTGGTAAGTATCTGAGGCCAAATTTGAACTCAGATCTTCCTGACTCCAGGCCCAGCATTCTATCCCCTAGACCTAGATGCCCCTTGTCAGGATTAGCTTTCCCTAAAAGGAGACAAAGCTGTCTCTAGAACCTGATTGGCCGTGACTTCGTGGTGTTCACCTAAAGGCATAAAATGCTCAAGCCACTAGCCCCCTCAGATTTGGTAGATTTCTAAAGACCTCGTGAATCCCATGTCCTTCACCCGTATCCTGCCATGATGAACAGATATGTTTCTGTATGGAGTTGGGGGAGGTGAAGATGACCATGTTCCCCTGGGCTAATGCCACTATATCCTTGCTGTGTTAGTCAAAGTAAACCTCCTTTTGAGTAGAGTTGGGAAATAATGAAAATCTTGTTTAAGATTACTATGTCAACAGTATTCCAGATAAATTGAAGTGAGAAGAAACTGGAGTCAGGGAGATCAATTGTTATTGCTGTTGTAATAGTCATGTTATGAGATGGTAAGTTTCAGACCTATCATGGAATTTCAGAGCTGGAGGAGACCTGAACAGCCATTTAGCCCAACCCATGCCTCTAAAAAGAATGCCCACTACAGCATTTCCAACATGTGGTCATCTAGCTTTTACTTGAAGACCTCCAGTAAGGAATAATCCCCTACTTTGAGGGATTCTATTCTACTTTAGAACAGATCTAAATTTCCCTTTTTTCAGTTTCTACCCATTGTTCCAAATTCTGCACCTTGGGACCACATAGAACAAGTCTTCCTCTTTTTTTGGTTGGGGGGGGGGGGGTGAGGTAGTCGAGGTTAAGGAATTTGCCCAGGGTCACACAGCTAGTAAGTAGTTAAGTGTCAATTGTCTGAGGCCAGATTTTGAACTCAGATCCTACTGACTCCAAGGCTGGAGCTCTATCCACTGAACCACCTAGCTGCCCCTGATCCCTCTTCCAAATGACAACTTTCAAAGTATTTTAAAACACCAGTGGTTTCCCTTCTCCCTCATTTTCAGGCTAAGCATCCCCACTTACTGCAGCTGACCCTTATATGGCATGAATTTGAGGCCTTTCACTATTCTGATTATACTCTCCCAGACACTCTCAATTTACCAATTCTCCCTCCTAACATGGTGCCCACAACCAAGCACAGTAATCTAGATGTGGTGCAGAGCATAGCTTATCGCATCCTTTTTCCTAGAAGCTACAGT